GAGAGAGAGAGAGAGAGAACTAGGACGTTGAACTACCTTTTATACCAGAACAGTTAATGTAGTGCCATGGGTGCACCACTGAGTAGCTTTTGCGGCCATCACGGGAACAAACACTCCCAGAGCCCAGATGTTTCTACTGATAGGAAAGCAGTTCCATCAGTTACTCTTCAGAGATCAGCTCAGCATCGGGCGGATCCTTGCGTCCAGTATCTCTAAATTGCCCTGCATTGAGACAGTTCTTGAAACGCCGTGAACACGACTAGAGCTCACGCCGACAAAAACATCCACATTTGACCGCTCAAGACGTGCATTCCGTAAACACAATAAACCCGATCGATAGGAGAACGAGGCTTTTTCGGGGCTCCGCCCGGGTCAGGTGGGGTCGGCGCGCCATGCCTCATTAGGTCGGTAACGGTCGTAAGCACGTCGTCTCAGGAGACGCTGGCCGCCATAGGCTCGTTAGGCGCGGGCGGAAAACGGCCCACCAGGCGGCGAACGGCCCACCGGGCGGAGAACGGCCCACCAGGCGGAGAACGGCCCACCAGGCGGCGAACGGCCCACCAGGCGGCGAAACGGCCCACCAGGCGGAGAACGGCCCACCAGGCGGGCGAACGGCCCACCAGGCGGCGAACGGCCCACCAGCGGCGAACGGCCCACCAGCCGGAGAACGGCCCACCAGCCGGAGAACGGCCCACCAGGCGGAGAACGGCCCACCAGGCGGAGAACGGCCCACCAGGCGGCGAACGGCCCACCAGGCGGAGAACGGCCCACCAGGCGGAGAACGGCCCACCAGGCGGCGAACGGCCCACCAGGCGGCGAACGGCCCACCAGGCGGAGAACGGCCCACCAGGCGGCGCGAACGGCCACCAGGCGGCGAACGGCCCACCAGGCGGCGAACGGCCCACCAGGCGGCGAACGGCCCACCAGGCGGCGAACGGCCCACCAGGCGGAGAACGGCCCACCAGGCGGCGAACGGCCCACCGGGCGGCGAACGTTACAGGGAGCACGGCCGGACTGCGGCCGGCCGCTTTGTCAGACCGCACGCGGCCGGCCTGCGCGAAAGGCGGGGGTTCCGTCACCAGATGGGCGCGCAGACACCTCCCGGCGCGACCGCCGGCGCCGGCGCCGGCTGCGGCTGCCGGCCACAGGACTCCAGCCGCGGCAGAGGCAGCTCGGCCAGGCCGAGGTCACCATTCCGGCCGGCAGGCCCGGCAGACCCGCCTATCGGACGGACGTGACGAGCCGGGCCGTGACGAGAGCCGGGCGAGACGGACGCCGTTTTTGCGGTCGGCCGGAGCGCGTTTGTCTAACGGAAGACGACACGAGGGTTCGTTGGGAAAATCAGGGTTCCTTGCTAGGTGGTGCGTGGGAACAGCAGCTAGGTCGCTGATGCCCAGCGAAGGGTGGCAGACGTGCCTGGACAGTACACATATCCGCTATAGCCAGGACAGCACTCAGATCTGCTAGAGCCGGGACAGCACACAAATCTGCTATAGCCAGGACGACACACAGATCTGCTATATCTGGGACAGCACACAGATGTGCTATAGCCGGGACAGCATACAGATCTGCTATAGCTGGGATAGTGCACAGACATGGCACCACCACGAGTCAGTCTTCAAAAGGAGACGGACCATGGCGTGGTTATGAACAGGTAGCCAAACAAAGCTACATGGTAACAGTTTCATCATATTCGGCGCACGAGTACCTCTCGACCCGCTAGCACGCTTGTTTGCAGTGTCAAGTGCCGTGTGATATACAGAGCGTTCGCGCTGGACGCGACCGCAGGGCTGCTGAATGCCACCTGACGCCATTCAGAGCCGGCTGGAAGCGGCCCGTCACCAGCGCGGACAACGAAGTGCCCTCCTTTCAGCACTTCCATCAAACGTTGTCGGCCACGAGACCGTAACGATGCTTCACGCCGCGGCTGCTGATCGATGCGCCACGCCCTTTATACGCCGCTGAATGCGGCCAGATTGCTGTCCATGGCCGCTCGGCCCGGCGGCCGGCCGCTCGACCCCGGGCCCGGCCCGGCGGCGCCGGTCAGGCCGACAGAACCATTGTGTCGGCGCCGGCCGCCGCCTTTCCCCGACTCCGGTCCCGACAACAGTCACTGGAGCCGGGCCGGCCGCCGACCCCTGCCGGGCGGGGAGGCCGCCGCCGCCGGTGCAGGGTTACGAGGCGGGCGGACCGCGGCGCCGCCGGTCGGTCGTGATTCGCGGCCGCCCCGCCGCGACAAAAACAGACGCCCGGCGCGCGGCGGCGGCGTGCCCGCCCCATCAGAAGCGGCCTCCAGGAGCGGACCCTGCCGACCTCAGGGTCACGCGCCTACACCGAGGTCAGCGGAAGCACGAGCTCATCCTCGAGCTTCCCCTGCGCGCTCGGAGAGGAGCAAATATTCCATGAATACAAAGTACGATGCATGCTTGACGACTTCAGGACGGCCTGGAGAGCCCGGTACTTTCCTCTTGTTTCGGTTCGCTGAGCGCTGGGCCAGGTTCTCTGAGAGACGGGGTCGCCCGGAGCTTTGATTAACGTCTGTATCACATTTATGGCGTATCATCTGATCTTTGACGTTTCGATGGCGGTACGGACGATTAGTTTCCGCCCAGGAGCTCCATTTTTTACGGTAACGACTAGAGCAAGAATTTGGAGGATATCTTGATTCGCCAGCCCTCTTCCAGCGGTGTTTGATAGTTTCTCCTGACGAGCAAACCGCTGCCCAGGAATACATCATCCGATGTCGGGTCAAAGTCATTTCCTTTCCATCAGATAAAGGAAAGCTATCTGAGGTTTTCCAGTTGGCCTGCGGGAAGGGTGGTGCCAAACCCTGCCTGCCGGCTCTGATAGACGCGCCTCACCGCGCAAAAAGCCCTGACGGCAGTCGAGCGTGGTTTTTCCGCTATCTCGCCAAAACGGGTTCAGGGACCGGTGGGCGGGCAGCCTCCCGACGAATTCGGCATGGAGCCAGACCCAAAGTCAGCCACGAGTCTCCTCTTGTCCCGTTCGCACAGCCGTCACATCCACAGCATGAGCCCACACGCCGAGCCAGCCGGCAGACCCGGCGCGCCACCGGCCGCACAGCGGCGAACCTGGCGCGGGGCCGGCACGCTCGCCCGGCGGGCGCTCATTACCCGGTCCGAGTGAGGTCGGCCCCCGGCCGGGCCGGCGGCCGGTGCACCGCTCCCGAGCACGGACCGCCGACTGGTGCGGCCAGAGCACCTCTCGGCGCGCCCAGCACCTGTCTGTCCTTCGCCACCCCACGGCAGCCGCCTTGGACCGGCCAGCTGAGGTGGAGCGGCCAGCTGCAGTCGGAGCTCATCCACGATTTTCGCGGCGGACGGGCCGTAGCAGACTCAGTTGTAGCGCCTGCCACCGCCGTGACGGACGGGCCGCGGCGATGAGTCATCGCCCTCGGCGGCGTCCTTCGAGCAGCCCGGACCGAATTATCTCCGTAGGGCGCTGAGGCCGATTGCAGGGTATATAGTTCATCGACGCTGAGTGCCTCTTCACTTTTGTGGCCGCTGAGCGAGAGGGCGTTTTGCTCGGCACGCGCAAATTACAGCGTTTGCCTCCGCGAGCGCGTTCAAAGTATGGTGCTAATGAAAAGAATGCACAAAAGTAAAACGGGAATGGTGGCTAAAGGCAATCGCTAACGAGTTCTTCCAGCAATCGTAAGCGGTGCCAGTGGGCACAGCGAGGAAAACAAGCTTGTCAAACCGACACCTTCCGGATGAGATCAGCCGGACGCTGATTGGAGAAACATCACAGCGGGCAAGTAACGGCGCAGAGTCGGTCGCATCTCCGAGAGCCGCACCAGTCGTCGCGCCAGTCACCAGCACCAGCTCCAAATCCGACCCGTCTTCGGAGTTCGTCTTCGGAGGTATCAGGAGTGGGTGGTGATGTCAGGAGTGGGTCGACGCCTGCGGTCACTAAGCCGAGGCGAGACACCTCCCGCTGTTCGGAGCTCTCACGACTCAATCGAGGCTCCGGAACACGGCGGTCGCGGCACCCCTCCAAGCCAATTTACGGCAGTGATTGTGCCAATCCGGCCGACACGGGATAAACACCGAGGGGCGCGACGTTTACATCTCAACTAAACGGCCTGACTCTGACTTAACTCGGCGCCGCCGGCCGTCCGGCCGACAGGCACGTTCCCCGCCGCCGCTTTGTTGCTGAGATTGCTCTCGTTGTCAATTTACACGGGCAGTACAAACAATGGACGGCGGTGCCGCGGGCCAATCCGCTGTATCGCCGTTCGCCCAACCGCGGCGGGGCCGCGTGCGTCCAGCCCGCGTGTGTACTCCCCCGCGCAGGTCTGGGCCCCGGCCGTGGCCGCTGTCAGTCCGTGGGACGGCGCCGGCTCGCACCCCGGGGGTCCCGCCGTTGGGGGTGGATGCGCGTGCGCCCGCCGGTGCCGGGCCGCCGACGGTTCCGAATTAACTGACCTACATGGAACAAAGCGACACTTCTCGGGCTCGGACACATTTCGGCGTTGTGCTGCTTTGTTCAAAAAGTCCCTTTTAGCCAAATTGTCACATCACGTCACAAGCGCGTTAATTTTCAGTGCTGCATCGATGTGTCACATATATTGTGCCGTATATTGTTTTTACCAGACCAGTACATACTTTTCCAGACACATGGCTCTCGGTGAACCAGCTACGATGGCCGTTGCAGCGCTCATTCGGTCCCTGATGGCCCTTCATCAGAGAGCAGTGGAGTAATGACAATATTCTACAGAAAGGCCATCGCGTTCGGATGAATGCCGTCTTTTTAAAGAAAATCTTGACACCGATATGATTGACAACAAAAGGCAGATGAACCTAACTGATATAAAAAAGTGCCGTTTTGGCAATCTTTAAGGCAGCACTCTGGTCAAGGGTGGGAGAATTTTACCCAGCGCATGCATGCATCGCGGATCGCGCGACTGGGAGGCTACTCACCGCCACCTTGCCTCCAGGCATGGGATAGGCGTCCATGGCGGCGCCGACCCAGCCGCCCTCCTTGTAGTCTCGGTAGCTGCTCTCCGGCTGGCGTACCGTGTCGTCGCCTGAGGGCAGCCGACAGGTCACGGTATGAGACGGGTCTGGCGTTCGTGCCCAGCGCCGGGGCGCGGAATGCCGGCTTGGTCGCGCTGGACGGGTGCGTGATGCGATTATTATGCCGTTCGGGGCACAGAAACTTGTTCTTCGCATATCAGATAAGTCGGGATTTCAAGGATCGACGCACAAGGTCTATTTTGATTTTTTTCCGACTGTCAAGGCGCAGTTAAACTGCGTTATAAAGGGACAAACTTCGGACCTTGACATGGAATTCTGGAACAGGTTTGTACGGAGTGGAATCGTACATGACCACGCTTTATCGATTCCAGACATACCGAGATGCCACTGACACGATTCGTTGCTGATAGGCAGAGCACTGCATCCGCTCTGCAGAGGTGTGGAACCGGTCCAGTAGGCTTCTGCACCTCCAACACCATATCAGGACACAAAAATGCCGCCTACGCACAGTCGTCAGTGCGATTGGACTAGCCAAGCAACTGCACCGCGTGCGACAGACGATCAGAGCCCGTCCACCACTGCCAAACGTCTTCTCCAAGCTGCTGCAGATGACGACGGCAAAGGCAACTGAGCAACCTTAACCGCGGGACACGGGCAAAGCGTTCGGCCGACAATACCAGTCACATCATGAGAAACAACATAAGGCAGCTGCATATGCAGAGCGACTCTGCTGTCGCTGCCGAGCGACTCTGCTGCCTGCTGTCGCTGCCGCGCAGACGCCGAGCCGCACCACCGCAACCCGGGCAGAGACAGCCCCCCCCCCCCCCGAGCAGAGGGGGCTGCCTGCAGCGGCAGCGACCGGAGCAGGCTCGTCCGCCAGACGGAATGGTGGCCCAGATAGTCTCGGAAGCGGGGCGCAGTTATCCGCGAGCCAGAGCTCACAGGCGCGCTGCCGGCCTTGGCTATAATTGTGTCCGGTGGGGCGGCGGATCCGTTGTTTATTATCAACCGTAAGAGATTATAATTGCAGATCCGCGTCAGCGCGCTGGAGGCTGCGCCCGAGCTAGCGCTGGAGCGATGCCGCTCGTCAGTGGTCAGTAGACCTGGCCAAGTATGTCGCGGGATGGGGAAAACCACATACCAGAGGTGACCGGGGGGGGGGGGGGGGGGGCGTGTCACTGTGAGGTCCGCAGTGTGCTTTGAATAAACCTGTACGCCATTTCCGTATGCTGAGAATACTGCTGGTTCATGGCCACGCGGAAAGTAGAAAAAGGACCTACGGTGGCTTCCGACAATTGCAGCGTCTTCTCGGTCACAAAAACTGTGCAATGTCCGGTTCAATCCTATTTGATCCATTATCTCTTTAGGCGTAAATGCAGCCTTGAACTAACTTATCTGGGAAAAATCAATGAGCCACGGCCTTCATGTTGGCGCGTCTGACCGTATGAGAAGCGCGACAAAAACATGCAGAAAAAGGGCTCTTCCGGCAGCAAAACATCACGAGGAAGTCACGAAGAAGAACGGTGCACAATGCTACCCCATTAGGAGGATTAATAACAAGAAAGGGCTATTGTAATGTGACGTTCCCTGCTCACAAACAGATGAAGTCAACAAAGAGGACCAGTCCTTTGTTCACAGGTCGGTGGCTAACTCACCTCGGCGACCACTTACCTTCGCAACATACTTGTAGTTTCCACCGACCCTTACGACCGCAACGAGCAAAACTCGCGAGCGAGCGAGGGGCGCCCCAACATAAATCTCGATGCGCAATTGCGGGCCTGTAGCGCGTCCCGGTCTACAATCAGACGCGCTGAATGCATTAGGCGCCAGCCTTCCACGTCCCCCACTTTGCTAGTGCGCTAATACGAGCCCACGCACTGCGTAAATGCCAATAAAAACGGCGCAAGCCGTCCAGTGCCCGTGTTTAATGGTCGAGCGGAACAGGGTGCGATACGAATGGGAAGAGCTCGGAGCCGACGCAGAGCGCTCGCGGCACCTGCCGGGGAACGCCGCCCCCACCTGTAGTGTCGAGAATGACCTCCTCGCAGCGGGGCCGGTCCAGGCCGCATTTGTAGAGGGCGCCAGTTCTGCTGATGTCGTGCAGGCCGAGGCTCGAGTTGGCCCGAGGCGCTCCCACCAAGATCCTGAAAACACCCACGGCGGCGATCAGCTGAGCGTCGTTTTTGTGACAGGACACCACGACAGGCACCGGCTCTACAAAAACCTGTCCACCGGCGCCCTAATGCGGTGAAGCCGCGCTGGGGGAGGGTAGGCGACTCTGGCCTGAATCACCCAACCGCCTCCGGTGGACACGACATGGACGCATAGCGCGCGGGTCTGCCACCGCGGTGGAGCGGGCGTCCCCGACAGACCGGCGGAGTCGGGGCCGCGCGCGGCGGACCGGAGCCGCCGGCTGGTCCCTCCGCTGGCCGCGCCGGGACAGGCCGCTCGTCCGCCGCTCATTAACGCGGCCCTAATGCACCATCCCAGGTCAGGCGTACCGCGGACGTAATCGCAGATAGGATCGCGCTGCGGCGGCCTCCGCCGGGTTTTTTTCCAGCGGAAGAGAGTGTCGAAGACCACGGCGGCAGAGCGGGCCACGGGTGACGGCGATGCTATCTGGGAGAAGCGCACCGAAGACCTCGAGCGGGGCCTGTGTTTTTGCACCCTGCGCAGGTGCTGCTCTGAACTCGGCCCCCGCGGCGCGCGGGACCCAAATGCCGGCTTCACCTTCGGTTAGGGCGGCTGCAGCGTCGCCACGCAGCAGCGGCATTAATCCACACTGTCCCTGACATGGCCGGCGCAGCGGCGGCCCGTTTTTGCCCAGTCACGCTTCATCTGTCGTCCGCCCTCGCTCCCCTTCGCTGCCACTCTCCGTCTGTCCCGCTGTCCCCGGTGACGTAGCTCCCCGTCGGAGGGAGACGAGGACGAGGGGCCACTTTAAATCTCTCCGCCGAGCCTGAGGGCTGGAAAATGCGGCGGGAGCGCTATGGGCATGTCCCGAGGCGTGCCGTGCATGGCAGCCGTGGCGCGGGCCTGCGGAACTAGCCCGGGCCAGACACCAGTGCTGAGCTCAGGGGATGACGGGCTGACGCCAGCGGGTGACGCCAGCGCCGGCTGTCGACCTCAGCTCGAACAGCGGGCTGCAGGGGCGCTGCCAGGGCCGGTCGCTGGGGCTGGCAGCGCGAGCCGCGGCCGTTCCGGGGCCGGTTTTTGTTCGCCGCCGGCAGACGTGCGCGCTGCTGAGCACGGCTGAGCCCACCGATGACTGATGAGGCTGCAGCCGACGCACCGGTCCCCGGAGCGGCACCTCTGGACTCCAGTGAGCGCACGTGCACGCCCCCACCCGCCGGCACCCCTCCCCAGGGGACCCGCCGGCCCCCAACGCTGAAGAACGACTAGGTATTGCGCAAAGGCCCGCAGCCCCGCTCCTGTAGTACATCTGTTACCAGGCGGCACTGTCTCTGAGCTGATAGCTGATACAGCCTGCCATCGGAAAGGTGGCCCTGCGCCACGTTATCACGCTGAGGACTTGTATCGGAAAGGTGGCCCTGAGCCACGGTATCACGCTGAGGACTTGTATCGGAAAGGTGGCCCTGCGCCACGTTATCACGCTGAGGACTTGTGTCGGAAAGGTGGCCCTGAGCCACGGTATCACGCTGAGGACTTGTATCGGAAAGGTGGCCCTGCGCCACGTTATCGCGCTGAGGACTTGTGTCGGAAAGGTGGCCCTGAGCCACGGTATCACGCTGAGGACTTGAATCGCTGCCGACACGAATGCAGGCACCGTGTAAGGGAATACTGGCGTCGCAGGTACTGGTCAGAGGCTGCTAACTGACTAAATTGACAGATATGTCTAGTTTCATTCACAAATAGCGTATCAATTGAAGGCGCGTGTTATTTACACCACAAGAGATGGTTTGGCAAAGCAGCCTGAACAATACCTTTAAGAATGATACATATAAGAATTAACGACACCCTGAATAATACCTGTAGTATCACAGGTTCCGCGCCCGTGTAGGACGGCACATGGTACACAGCCCAGCCCTGCGACTTGAGAGTCGAATGCTCAACATCGCCGCACTGCGGCATGAAAAACGGGCCGCCACACGCAGCGCAGCACTAAATCTACGCGAATGACGCGCCATCTGTGCGCGTGCGGTGTGCACAACCGCGTGCACCGCCTTGGACAGAGATCAAACGAGACCAGATTTAGCCAGGCAGGAGCGAGAGAACGCGAGAATGGCCGCCACTGAGCATCTATCGGCTTAGACTCTCTGCGAAAGTGGTCAAGAGAAACAAGACGAGCTTCTGGTGAGCTGGGCGAAGAGCAGCGTACCCTCGACCGCTCCCTCGTCTTTTATTTCCGTTCGCGTACATCTGGCTGGGTCGTCTCACGGCGAGAACAGGGCGTTGTTGGTATTCGCTGGCCGCCAGAGGGACACTGGTGCCTGACTGCCCTCTCTGTTTGCAGTCGTGTGGTCCGGACGGACGCCGTGTTTACTCAGTCAGCACACTGCTCCTGGTACCGTGGCGAAATACAACAAAGCAAGCGTGTCGGGAGTGTGAAAACAGATAATCGTCTGACTTCAAGCACGCTTCCGTCTAACCTCTCGGTGCTACCAAGGCGAGGCCCGTAATCGGTAGCATCACGACTGTTATCGGCAGCCCATCAATCGAAGGCCGCGAAAAAAATAGCATGCATCGGTGCTATTTCGCCCAATACCTATACTTTCATCCACTCGCTGAAGGATGGGGAGGTGATCGGTAACTGGTGTTACAGAATGACAGTAGCGGCTCACAAAGGCAACAAAGATGCCTATTATAACTAACGACTCAAACCAATGTTTCCAACAGATCACGTCCGAGACACAGTCCGGGTTAGCCATTCCCTGACAGTCATGTATTCAGTGTTAGGAGCTCATAACCGAGCCCCGGGACAGGGCAGTTCATCAAGTGACTAGTCACGTACTCCATAAACTGCTGCTGTCGGCCGGTGAGGCCACATCTCAAGGGCAGCCGTTCAAACGACGCGCCGCCGCCACCGCACCCTACCACACACCGCAGTTGAGAGGGAGGAAGCGAGCCGCGGGCGCCGACTACAGCAAAGGCGCGCCAACACCACCGCACCCTACTACACAGCGCGCGTCGCAGTTGGGCGGGGGAAGCGCGCCACAGGCGCCGGCTGCATCAGCGGATAGGGGCCATCGCCTGATCGCGTGGCGAGCTGTTAGACATCGTCCCGAGCGCGCTGTCGTCCACGCTGCCGGCGGTGAGAACGAAGGCGGGCCTCGGCGCCGGCTAACCAAGCCAACTGCCGGCTAACCACCAGGGCGAGATCGGATGGATCGCCGCACCGCCGACAGAACAATGTGACAACACAGACGCCGATCTGTCGGCGGCGCTGGCAGCGATCAGTCGGCGATACAGGCGGCGATTAACACGCGGCCGCGGAGTCAGCCCCGCTGCCGGTCCGCCCCCCGTGCGGCGCTCCCCGCGCTGGGCGAGGGGCCGCGCCGGCCGACGGCACGCGGACTGCGCACCTCCCGACTGACAGGGCCAGAGCGCGGGCCGCCGCGGCGCGGCCGGGGTCGTCGTCTGGCGCGGCTGACAGCGCCCGCACGTGGGGGAGACTGCTGTTTTTGTCGGGCGCCGGCTGACGTGCGGATTACGAGAAACGCGGCACGTGATCGGGACTGGGACACGGTCGGAGTGGGGCTTAAAGCGCAGGGGCGCGGACCTGGCCAGGGAGCCCTGTACTGTTGCATCACGCGTCCCGACTGAGACTACAAGGTCAGACTTGAAGCCGACAGAGACGCAGCAAAGACGCTTGTCGTCACGGAGACGCCAGCCGCCACAGAGACGCCACAGAGACGCCAGCCGCCGCAGAGCCGTCAGTCGGCACAGAGACGCCAGCCGCCGCAGAGACGTCACAGAGACGCCAGCCGCCGCAGAGTCGCCAGCCGTCAGTCACTTTGTGGGTACAGCCTATGCGTGATGGCTTACTCTAAGTGACGCCAATCGAGAGGCGGACGTGCCTAACGTCCGCGCACGTGAGCGGAAGCGACGTACTTTCCTCCCGGGACTAACCACAGAGCAGCGTCGTTCCCAGACCTGCCGTGACCCCGGTCCACATCCCACCAAGCCGCACACGAGCTTGCAACGGACACCCGAACCCGCGCGCGCGCGCCGACCCGTGCGCGGCCGAAAATCATCAGCATGTCGACACATCCCGTCGGCTGGACTGACGCCCTTCAAACAAGAGCGCGCCACAGCGCTACTGACGTCCCCCGCTCCCACGCCGACCCGCGCCGCCGACGGCACCCCGTCTCGCTGAAACGCGACAGGGCGCGTGTGGTGCGGGTCAAACGCGGCGCGTCTGGCCAGCCGGCGCTCGCCGCCGCCGCTCGCTGCCGCCGCGCCGCACCCGGCGACGGCGGCGCATGTGGTGCCGCGCCGCCCACGGCCCGCCGGCTAACGCCGCCGTGCGGCGCCCGACCCCGGGGGTCACCATCGGCGCATCGCCGATCGGCCGGGCGTGAGTCCATCGCCTCATTAGCCATTACGGGGAACGGGTCGACCGCGGCCGGACGTCGTACCGGTCACGGCGGGGCGGGGCGACGGCACGAGAGCAGGGCCACAGCCGGACCGTGCCCTCCTCCGGAATGGCGCAGACCGGCAATTTGCCTGTAACAGAATTGTGCAGAGCGTGGCTGGCCGATTTGCACGCCATTTAACCGAGAGCGAAGTGAAAGCGGTTCCGGCCCCAGCGCTTCACGATGGAACTGTGCCGTATAAGGATGGGTACGCGGAAAGTGAGGCGAGGCGAGGTAAGCGGCGGCGCGCGCCCGCCGGTCGTCGGCGGTGAACTGGCGTCCGACGGTCGCGTGTTTCAACACAACGCCCACCGGAGCGGGCACGACGCCGGACGTCGAGCGGCCCCTAGGTCTGTGTCAATTACGGCGTGGGGAGAGTGGCGGTATTGACGGGAAACAAAGCTGGAACGCGCCGCTCCCCCGGCGGCTGTGACGGACGGGCCCCTCCCTAGCACGCCCCGCCGGCCGGTGTCGGGCCCTCCAGGCCACTCTCGGCAGCCGCTCTCGGACTCCGACCGCGCCAGCTCTTTGTTACCTCTCGCCCGTGCACGCGCGCGGCACAATGGATAAAGGCCCGTCTTGGATAAAGGCCGACTGGTGCGGCGGTTCACAGCTGCAAAATTTGCACGTTGCTCCTTTCAAATGTCGCTTTTACTGGTTTGCATGCACAAAGATGCTCATACAAGCAAAAAGCACGCCAGATTTGGAGCCAGGTGGAACGACCGCTGACCAAAAATGAGGATAAAGGCACGTGCTTCTATGCCCTCCCTCCCCGTCCGGAGAGGGAGAGAGAATAAAGGCAAGTGGCACGGTATTCAGCCGGAAGTGGGTAGAAGATCACGCTGCGGACAGATCCCGGTATGTGCAGACGCGTGGAACGTTACACGATTAGCGGGACGAATAAGAAGGGCACGTGGACCGCGAACGACCCCCGACATCAGCTCCGCTGCGCGCGCGACCTCCGACGCCAGGCAGCGCGCGACCTGCGAAGTCAGCTCCGCAGCGCGAACGACCAGCTCCGCCCACGGCACACGGCCGCAGTGGCCGCGCCAACCGCTATCCCCGCTGGACGCGTGGGCCCTCCGCAGTGATGCACCGGGCCTCTGACACCGCTCTCTCCGGCGTCTGACGGGCTGATGTATCGAGGCAAAACACTCGCCCCGCGCCGACTGCGATGTCCTGTCCGCCGCGTTTGTCACGCCGCGCGCGACACTCTCCCTGTCGCGCGGTACACGATGTGCTCGCCGCTCGGACGGGACCCCGTCGGTACAGATATCTAATCGTTCTTCGATCAGAAAGGCCGACTAGAAAGCAATTGCATCGCACTCAGGGCAGCAAAAACAACCCGGACGTGCGCGCTCGAGGCTTCATCGATGCACATCCCGGTCCGACACAGCCGAGCAACGCGCCTCGTCTCCGCCCATAGGGACGTGACACGAGCCACGATGGCAGGTCGCTGGGAAGGTGGCTGCACTGCTACACGACACTCACTTCCCGACACCTGACGTAGCTCGTGACTGCCGAACGTGCGGTCCCCAGCGGCGGGAGGGCCCGCTCCAGCCCGGTCCCGGCGAACACTCACCAGGCTCCGCTGTCCGATGAGTTGGTGAGGCCCACTGAGTAGCCGAAGTAGGAGTCGCCGCGGCCGGCGGCCGACCGGGCGGCCGGGCCCTGGAAGATCACCGGGTGCCGCGTGTCCAGGTTGAAGGCGGCTGCCAGCGTTGCCGTCGCCAGCCACCAGAGCAACGGTGCGCAGAGGCCCCCCATCGCGCCGCGCCGTCGCCGAGCGGCCGCACGCGCTGCGCTGTGACGCGGTGCTGCGTCCGTCGGCTGCCGCGACAGAGACGAGACCGCTGCCAGCGCCGTCAGCGGATGATTCACAGGAGTGGCCCGCCCAACCGATCTGGAACAGGACGACGCCGGTCAGACGCGCGCCGGGGGGACGGCGCGGGGGGGGGAAGCGCGTCACCGGACGGCGCGAGCGGCGGGTCGCCGGTGACGGCTGAGTCACGGCCGGGGAGCGGCGGCAGACCTGGCCGGCCCGGATGAATGGCTCGCGGCCGCAAACAGACCCGGCCGGCTGTGACTGCCGCGGGTATGATTGTCGGCTCGTGCGACAGGCTCAGGACCCGGGACACAGCGGAGGGGAGGCGGCGATGGTGGGGCGCTGAAGGGGACTTGGTGCAACACGAGACGCGGAACGGAGGGGGCTGAGCAACCTGGAAGGCGCGGCAGAGGAGTGGGCTGCGTCCAGCGCCGAGGCGGACACACGCGTCCACACACACTCGGCTACTCGAGCGGACCGGCGGCGCCGCTCGACCGCCCGGCCGCCAGACGGGGCGTGACGTCACGCGTCAGGGACCGGCAGTGTGCCAATCAGAGCTAAGGTCGCGCCTCCGACAATGAACGGGAGGGGGGGGGGGGGGGGGGGGGCGGCACGGCAAGGATGCAGCCAATGCTGCGAAATTACGTCAGTGCGGGATGCAGCGATGACGAGATGCATTAATTGCTGCTGGAGATCAGAAGGGGCGTAGAAAAAGGATTGATGACGATCGATGACAAAGTTGCTATTGAAAAATGACGATGAGAACGATCACCACAATTTGTACTTACAAATGACTAGCACAAATGTAACAATGCATCGTATGACGTTTGTAGATTTGTTCCGGCTGGTGTCATCACGTTTACGACAAAGATTGTTAAAGGAGTGTAGAGCCAGCACTATACCAAAAACACGTTTGCCAGTGTTTCGTAACAAATTTTATTCGGCAGCGCAGGCGCACCTAGCCACTTAATTATGAACATTTACCGTCCATAACTTCAGCGTATACTGTAAACCTGCCACAGCAATGGCCTGGAACACAGACAAGATCAGGCAGTGTGCACGTAAAATATAACCTACAATAGCCATGCTCAACATCCTTTCATGCCGATTAATACTAATGTTAACGCCAAGCTTTCTATTCTACTGCATGATGCTATTAGGTAGCTGACACCACCATATGCTGCACGAATCAATTGAGACCGAACCGAATAACTTATTGTGAATTCCACCTAACCAGCAGCCCTTTCACCGGCCTGCAACAGAACGCAAAGTGCTCGTATAAAGACCGAAATCACCGCGCAGTAACGACGTGGATGTACGCGCGGCCGGCCGGAGGCAGTGTGCGGCAGCCTGGCTGACGGCGTGGTTACCACACCGCCGGCGGAGGAGCCCAGGTGGGCGCCCCCTGCGTGCGAATCACGGCGTGAGTTACTGCGCGTCTCCGCGGCGGCGCGGGCCCACCCTCGCGCCGCCGCGGAGGCTGGCGCTATCCGAGCCGCGAAGCGAAGGCTGGGGCGTGGCGAGTGGGGCCCGAGCGCCGCGGCGGCGCGGAGGCTGGCGCTAACCGAGCCGCGTAGCGAAGGCTGGGCGTGGCGAGTGGGGCCCGAGCGCCGCGGCGGCGCGGAGGAGGCGGCGACGCCCGGGGCGGCCGCTCCTCCGCGCTGCCGGCCGCCAGAACGACGCGATTACGCTGATGGCCTGCCGCTGAGCTGACCGGCCGCCGGCGGGACGCCGGGCCGCCGTCTGCGGGACGGACGGGGCGGGCGGAGCGGAGCGCTGCGGGACGGGTGTGAGGCGGCATGGCCTGCGGTGGGCCGTCTGACAGACTGCCGGGCCGGAGCGCCGCGGGACCGGGGTGAGGCGGCATGGCCTGCGGTGGACCGTCTGACAGACTGCCGGGCCGGAGCGCCGCGGGACGGGTGTGAGGCAGCATAGCCTGCGGTGGACCGTCTGACAGACTGCCGGGCCGGAGCGCCGCGGGACCGGGGTGAGACGGCATGGCCTGCGGTGGACCGTCTGACAGACTGTCGGGCCGGAGCGCCGCGGGACCGGGGTGAGGCGGCATGGCCTGCGGTGGGCCGTCTGATAGACTGTCGGGCCGGAGCGCCGCGGGACCGGGGTGAGGCGGCATGGCCTGCAGTGGACCGTCTGACAGACTGCCGGGCCGGAGCGCCGCCGGACCGGGGTGAGGCGGCATGGCCTGCGGTGGGCCGTCTGACAGACTGCCTGGCCGGAGCGCCGCGGGACCGGGGTGAGGCGGCATGGCCTGCGGTGGACCGTCTGACAGACTGTCGGGCCGGAGCGCCGCCGGACCGGGGTGAAGCGGCATGGCCTGCGGTGGGCCGTCGCGGGTGGCGTTTCTGGGGCGGTGCCAGCACAGCTCGCGGGGCCTCGTCAGAGCACTGAGCCACCGCGCTAGCGCTGGCACTGAGATCCTCTCTGCAGCAACACGCTCACGCTGGGTGCGCCCCGCATCCGCGTTGGACCTTGGGTCTGGGACCATTGCAGAGTTGATCTGTCGCATCCGCGGGCATGATCAGCCGAATAGACGCTGATGGGTCGTCACAGCCGCTAACTAGATCACCGATGTGACTGGCGAACTGCACGCTTCCCATGGCAGTGTGGTCAGCACGAGAACTGTGCCGTCTGCGGTGGCAGAATGACCGCCCGCGGTCCCTCCGCGGGCAGCCACGATTAAACAATGAACATACCGGAGCGCTTGTCGGAACCTCCATGGATGCCCTCCTTGGGGCAGACGGGCAGAAGACTGCAGGTGGTTCCAGGGAGACCCACAATAGGCAGGCTGAAGAGACAGGAGTCCTCAAATGTAGCTTGCGGGAGAATCGACCGCGCCAATTTAATATAGATTTCACGGATTCCATGACATTAATCAACATGGATTATAGTCTCCATGGATTTCACGCAGCTACCACACCTGGCTGTCTTCAGGCTTCTCCGTGGAGGCCCTTCGATACACGGACCTGGCTGTCTTCAGGCTTCTCCGTGGAGGCACTCCGATGCACGGACCTGGCTGTCCACAGGCGCCTCGACATGCGGCTCTCACCGTGAGCAAACGATGCTATCATTCGGAGCTTCCGGGGTCGGCCTGGCCGGTGGTCGCCCTGTCGGCGCCGACCAGCCGGCCGGCCAGAGGACACGCCAGACCCAAACAGGGCCGCGCGGTCGGAACGTCACGCCAAAAACCGGTTTGCATGATGCGCCGGCACCCGACGCTTTCCGTCATGCGGCCGCGCCGGCGCCGCTGACGGGGCGAGGAGTGGCCGCCAGCGGCGCCACACCGGCGCCCGGTCCGCGGCCGCACCCGGCGCAGCCCGCTCCTCAGCCGCGTCAGCAGCGCCGCGCTGGGGGCTGATAGAGGCTGGGCTCCCGTCCCATCCTTTGGCAGCTCGAACTCGCATCCTGGAGCGGCAGTGGGGGGGGGGGGGGGGGGTCTGGGTAGCGGCGCTGGTCCTGCCCGTGGACAGCTAGTGATAACGCTTGGGGCAGTGCGTAGGAGCAGACCTAACCCTGACCCATGCACGGGCGCTAACAGCTATCCGCAGTCAGTGCGGGGCTTGGGGGGAGCTCGGTCGGAGCAACGGTGCACGGCAGCATCCGTTTTGCGCGGTTTCCTGAGCGATAGCAGTTCGCTTCACTCTGGGAGTCATCAGTAGACGAATGGCACACACGGCCTACGACTCAGGCAGTCGCTGTGGAGGTGTGCCGACCCCGCAGGTAGAGGTCAGACGGGCCTGACCTCTTGAATAAACGACCCTTTGCGGAGCTTCCTAACTGATGAACTGCTGCGAGGGCGACCGGGTGGCCATTTGATGACGTCAGCTGAGATGGCACGGGAAACGAAGGACACCACGTCACGCGTGGTTGACCATGTCAGCAACAAGCACGGGACATATCGCTGGCCATCGCCGAATACACTGGACGAACCCATTAATTACGAGTTGTTAATTGCGACATTCCGCGGACAAACAACAATTACGCGTCCAATTAATTTTGGTCTCCTAGCTAAACGACGATACCGATCAGTCTTCATCCCTCGCCCACGAGCGCCCACTTACCTGTAGCTGGGTCGCAAGGTTTCTCAGCTCCCCGCACGCCGTTCGTAACGCTATCACTGCGCGAGGCGCCCTCCACGCGCAACTGTCCAGGAACGACTGGCCGTGGTCGGGCGCCGAGCCGCGGCCGTGAGTCAGCTGGCGGGTGACGTCACCGCGGCTCGTGACGTCACGGCCGACCCGGCTAGGTCAGGGAGCGGCTGGATGGCCGGAGCCAGGTAACCGGAAGCCTGGAGTGTGCACGGCCGAGTCACGGCCGGAAGTGTCGCCTTGTGACGTGGCCGGCTTTGTCCACAGCCTCCCGACTGGAGGGCTGGGGGCCAGCTGGATGGACGGTCAAGGCTCATCCGGCGCCGAGAAGGGATTGCAGGAAGCGGACGGCCAGACTAGGATGCAGCGGAAGTAAGGCAGGTCGCGTTGAATGACAAAACTTGTCTTTAGAAGGTAGATTTTTTAACAGAAATTTGCGGGGTGATGATCAACCCCCTCTCATAAGTACCAGTGGCATGTGAAGGCGGGAAACACATTAGCACCCTGCACAGCACTGATGGAGTACTTGATAAGCATGACTTAAAATTTACGACAGTACAACAAAAAATTATCGTTGTGGACGATAATGGCAGGTAGCTTTTAATAAGCCGGCATACAAAGACGCATTCAAGTGTCCCTCAATTATTGTCGTAATATCTGATGACGGTTACAGCTGTATACAAAAACATCGGGCCAAGATTCGAAACTAGATATCGCAATCAGCAGCCTGACGCTCTCCCACCACCCGAGTCCGACTCCACAAATATCCCACGTACTTAATTGGGCATACGGCACTGCGCTCATGTTCCAAGCACTAACTGTCCTGTAAGCCACCAATGGCAATGAGCTTTGTGTGAGCTGAGAAGCATACTAGCCTGGACATGCGGAATAGCAACTGCCTGCCGACAATAATGACCTCCGAATGAATATTCTAACCATTGCCGAGTGGTAAGATGTGATGGTGTGAAAAACAACTTACGTATAACTTGCTCACCTTTTTACAGTATGCTTGGTTCGGGTTCGATATGAAAAGCCTATATGGCTTTGCATGAAAGACGCCATCTCGCGGCGAACGAGTAGACGTAAGTGGAATGCCATGCGGTTGTGCCAGCAGCTACTCATCACCTAAATGGGTATCTGAAGGGAGCGCTATGTACATGGCAAAAGCCTCAACGGCATGTCCATCCCTGCAGTCTGTGTGACGTGGGTTTATATCACACACCTGAGCGTCGTGGATTGCACAGATTGGATGTCAGGATCTAAACATGCATGCTATTGCTTTGCCAACCCCGGAAACTTCACTCCACGACCCAATTCGGACGGTGCCACAGCGCGTGTCACCGCCTCATGAGACCAGCGAGGAGCCCGCAGTCTGCCTCAAGGCTCGGCCCCGGCAGCAGAGGGCCTCGCGTGTCACCGCCTCATTAGACCAGCGAGGAGCCCGCAGTCTGCCTCAAGGCTGGGCCCGGCGGCAGAGGACCTCGCGTGTCACCGCCTCATTAGACCAGCGAGGAGCTCGCAGTCTGCCTCAAGGCTCGGCCCGGCAGCAGAGGACCACAAGTCAGACAAACTCGTCCGTTCGTCTTGGAAGTGACCGCAGTGATCCGGTCGCGTAGACACACCACGAGCGACTCAGGCAGTGACCAGAACGCTCCGGTCGCGCGGACGCACTACGGGCGATTCAGGACATCACGGCTTACCGAGAGCGCCCCCCCCCCCCCCCCCCTAGCCCAGAGGAGAGGGTGGATGACGGCGGCGGCAGCTCGGGGCGACCACCGTCACATCGCAGGAAGGGCGACCGCTATCAGTGGCGTGTGGCGTCATGCCGCATGCGAGGACCTCGTCCGGCCGCCGGTGACGCAAAAACGCAGGCGTCACGCTAGTACGCATCGGACAAAAACGGTGCTGGACTGGGCGATCGGCAGCTAGGATGATGCTGAGATCACGGGTGAGCAGAATTAGATGGCACGGTAGCATACCAGCGAGCGTCAGGACGTGACGTGTCGGCTACATTCAGTTATGTCTAACCACACATCGTGGCTGAGTGTCTTGGTCGGGCCATGGGTCGCTGAGTGTCTTCAGTGACCCACGGCCCGGACCTTGACGGTCGCGAATAAAGCGATGCGGGCGGGGCACTGCACTGGTCGGCCGCCTCTCCAATGTAATGAGCCAGGGGCGCTGCACTGGTCAGCCGCCTCTCCAATGTGATGAGCAAGGGGCGCTGCACTGGTCGGCCGCCTCTCAAAGGTGATGAGCCAGGGGCGCTGCACTGGTCGGCCGCCTCTCAAATGTGATGAGCCGAAGCAGTTTTTATGTATGACAATACAGCACAGCTACCAACGAGGCTAGTAAGGAGTATTAAGTGAACAAATTTCGAAGGTTAGGAATCGTGACAATTACATGTGGCGTTATTGCTTGATAAGATAGAAAAATTAGCTTAAGCCCTAGTCTAGTTGTCCCGATTGTTGTTCGGAGTTTGCGTGCAAGTAGATGCAGATAAGATGAGAGAGAGAGAGTTGGAGACAGAAGTCTCGGCGTTCACCGTCCTCAGTTGTGGAGAGAGGAGAAAGAGGAAGGGGCGAAATGAGGCGACGCATGTACGTACTACATGCCCAATCACTGCCACTGCCAGCGCATCACAAGCAGTGGCATCGCCGACAGGGATTATATAGTAGTGTGTGCCACCTCCTTGTTCTCCCCTTTTCCTCCCCTCTCCCCGTCTGATAATGTCAGGCGCTCAAAACATGTCCTCAACTCTTCCTCTGATATTTGCTGCATGCATACTGCATTCGGCCTTAAATCTGACCTTACGGGCAAAAACTATCGAAAATAAATTTTGCTTTACTTCATCATGTTTATGAGAACTCGATATTATCGGCCCTGGTGCTGGTTCTCTCTGCCGTGACCAGACCCCGGGCCAGCCAGGGTCCGTACCTTACCGCCGGCCGCCTGCCGTGACCAGACCCCGGGTCAGCCAGGGTTCCGTACCTTACCACCGGCCGCCTGTCGTGACTAGACCCCGGGTCAGCCACGGGTTCCGTACCTTACCACCGGCCGCCTGCCTGACCAGACCCCCGGGCCAGCAGGGTTCCGTACCTTACCGCCGGCCGCCTGCCGTGACCAGACCCCCCGGGCCAGCCAGGGTTTTCCGTACCTTACCACCGGCCGCCTGTCGTGACTAGACCCGGGTCAGCCAGGGTTCCGTACCTTACCACCGGCCGCCTGCCGTGACCAGCCCCGGGCCAGCCAGGGTTCCGTACCTTACCACCGGCCGCCTGCCGTGACCAGACCCCCCGGGCCAGCAGGGTTCCGTACCTTACCACCGGCCGCCTGTCGTGACTAACCCCCTGGTCAGCCAGGGTTCCGTACCTTACCAACCGGCCGCCTGCCGTGACCAGACCCCCCGGGTCAGCCAGGGTTCCGTACCTTACCACCGGCCGCCTGCCGTGACCAGACCCCCGGGTCAGCCAGGGTTCCGTACCTTACACCGGCCGCCTGCCGTGACCAGACCCCCGGGTCAGCCAGGGTTCCGTACCTTACCGCCGGCCGCCTGCCGTGACCAGACCCCCGGGTCAGCCAGGGTTCCGTACCTTACCGCCGGCCGCCTGCCGTGACCAGACCCCCGGGTCAGCCAGGGTTCCGTACCTTACCACCGGCCGCCGTCGTGACCAGACCCCCGGGTCAGCCAGGGTTCCGTACCTTACCACCGGCCGCCTGCCGTGACTAGACCCCCGGGTCAGCCAGGGTTCCGTACCTTACCACCGGCCGCCTGCGTGACCAGACCCGGGTCAGCCAGGGTTCCGTACCTTACCACCGGCCGCCTGCCGTGACCAGACCCCCGGGTCAGCCAGGGTTCCGTACCTTACCACCGGCCGCCTGCCGTGACCAGACCCCCGGGTCAGCCAGGGTTCCGTACCTTACCACCGGCCGCCTGCCGTGACCAGACCCCCGGGTCAGCCAGGGTTCCGTACCTTACCACCGGCCGCCTGCCGTGACCAGACCCCCGGGTCAGCCAGGGTTCCGTACCTTACCACCGGCCGCCTGCCGTGACCAGACCCCCGGGTCAGCCAGGGTTCCGTACCTTACCGCCGGCCGCCTGCCGTGACCAGACCCCCGGGTCAGCCAGGGTTCCGTACCTTACCGCAGGGCTTCTGCCATGACCAGACCCCTCGGGCCAGCCAAGGTTCCGTACCTTACCGCAGGGCTTCTGCCATGATCAACTCCACTCGAACCGACCAGGGTCCTGGTTTTACCACCGAAAGTCAATCCAAATCATTAAATCTGTGAAAAATCGTCTTTTCAACAGCTTTGATGGCACCGAGTTTCGATTTGAAATAAAGACAAGGCTTCAATCGGGCTCGACCGGGGAACGTCCCCGCGGTGCCCGCCTTTCCGGCCAGGATGAGAGGCAGGCGACACCATAAAGCCCCAACAGCTGAATGCGTCGTAAAGCCCCAATGACGACGACGACGACCAGAAGGGGGACGTAAATTCGTCCCCCTCCATGTTTGCGGGCTTAGGAAAAAAAAGGCGGAGGTGAGCAAAAATAAATTATAATACCCTATTTTTAGTACCATTCGTTTTCCATCAGTGCGGAAATTTTGAAGTTCAAAGCAAGTCACTGCGCTGGCCGAGATTGGTCTGAGGTCAAGGTCTTAAAGTTAGAGCCCTCATAACTTGTATTGGCATGGCAAGACCTGATGAATATTAGAGAAGTCTGCCGTTATGCGTGCTGTGCTGTGCTGAGATTTATACGAGAAGACACTCCGACACTGCGATAATATTTTTCCGCCGGCATGGAGCAACAGATGTCCTTCCACGTCGGGAGGACAAAGGGGCGCTAGGCAGCGCTGACCTAGTCATCGGTTAGCGCTCCGCAGCTCTCCCTCCGATCCTCGTCCTGGGAAGGGAGAGGGGTCCGACGCTAGGAGGGAAGCGCATCCGGCGAGCTGTGGAAAAAGTGGCGCTTTCACTCATCAGGCTTGACTCTAGACAAATTGGTAATGTCTTCAGAACATGTTCTCCTGTCAGAGAACGTGCTGGACGTGCGCTCTACCTGACC